AAGGTTTCAGTCACGCCATCCTGCTCCTGAAGCGGCTCTGAAACCTGCGCTGCCTCCTCCTGTTACCTGTGCCTGTTTTTTTGCACAGTTTTGTTGTGACACAACAGGTTCTTGACATTTACTGGAAAGCTAACTACGTATTGATTTTTCTTCAGGTCCATGAGCACATCCGTCCTGCCCAGCAGCAGACCGCATGGGAGGTGGGCTGCTGGGGCGCAGGCCGTCTTGGGTTGCAATCCAAGGGTCTCCCCTGGACCCTCACAGACACGTCCCATGGCGACTCTCCCCTTACCCAGATGAGAAGGTTGCTGTGTGCCTGCTGCTAGAGATCGAGCTCGGTGTCCTGCTGTAGGAAGCTGTGTCTCTTGTCAGAGCACCTGGTACCTGAGTTTGTGCCCATCCTTCCCCGGGCTGCCCGAGCCATTTTGGTCTATAGCTGAGGTTACTGCCCAGGGCTGTGGAGGTGCCTTAGGCCCAGTGGAGGGTGGGGACTGGAGGGGGCCCTGAAGGTGGGTGGGTGGGGCACAGGCACAGCGTGTGGGAGGCCACCCGTCTTCCCGTGCTCAGCATGGTCAGTGGGTTGTTTTTAGGTTCTGGAGACTTTCTCTGAACCCTATGGGAGAACACACGCTCACTGGGTCACATAGGGTAGGCCAGACCTGCCCTAGAGTTGACATGCCCTGAGCTGGGGTTGGGCACTCCGGCTGGGATGACCCACCCCAGAGTGTGCAGTCACGTTGTCACTTGTCGGAGATGCTGCTGGACACCTCTCCTTTCCCTCCCCTAGGGTGGTGGGACTGTAGTGTAGACTCTAGGGGATCTGGATGTGAGGCACACCCAGGACAGTGACCCTGGCAGGGACTGCGGCCCAGGTTTGCCTGCCATGCTTACACACCTCCCACCTGCGACCAGAGAGCCCAGCGTAATCCCAGCCACCCCCGTTTCTCCAAGGCTGGTGTTCTGCTGTCCCGGGTCACATAGAGCTGACTGCATGGAGAAGGTGACTGGAGATTTGATTTGCTCACTCTCTTGTAAGAACTGGGACAGTGCACGGTGACTCCACACATGGGTCTGTCGGCCTTGGCATGGGAGATGCTCGTTGTGCTCTCTTTGCACGGTTCTGGGCAGGGTCTCCTTCTGGGCCTCAGTGGTTCCCTTTGTGAAATGGCCCAGCTGTCTACAGGGTGTCAGGAGGAATAGGATGTGTGGGACCAGCACTCTGTAACCACAGTGACCATGAGAGGGAAGCCAACAAGGTGGGGTGGGAGTAATCGAGAGCCAGAGCAGAATTCGAGGGATGCTCTGGGGCTGGATCTGGGGTGGTGGTTCCTGGGTAAGATGTGAACTAGTACCCCCTGGTTGCTGGCCCCTGTGGCGGAGGCCCCACTGGCCTGCTGTTGTGTAGAAACGAGTCAGGCCATGCTGCGGGGCAGTGGTTGGCCTGTCCAGGGCTGGGCCCAGGGAGAGGGGCGATGTGGGGTCATGGTCAGGTCTTGGCACCAGGACTGGACAGACCACCACTGTGGCCCTCTGAGCATGTCCTGATCCATCTCAGCCCATGGTCATGGGGTGCATCCCCTTTCACAGGTGTCTGCTACGACACCGAGGGTGCTGTGGTGAACAGGTGCCAGCCCGGCCAGGGGCCTGGGGGCGGGAGCCAGAGCAGCTGCTAGGCATGTGAGGGTGCCTCCGAGCTGAGCTGTAAGCGAGCAGGTCAGAGGACACAGCTGGAGGCACTCGGGCTTCCTTACTCTCCCCTCTCCCCTGTGTGTGTGTGTGTGTGTGTGAAAAACTCCAGGAAGGAGGCCGCCCCGGGCCAGGCCCCCTCTCCCCTGCCAGGATCTGCGGATCTCTTTCTGCGGCCCTGAGATGGCCTCCAAGGATGCCTCTGCTCCGGGTCTGACCATCCAGGGACAGTGAGGGGCACCTGGGCGACTGCCTTGCCACGCCGAGCCTCAGCCTCAGGCTCTGGCTGCCCAGACCCCGACACCCCCACTACCACCTCTGTGAAGCCTGTCCTCTGGCCCACTGCCCAGCACGCCCCTCCTGCCCTCTTGTCTGTCTCGTTCGAGACTGTAGCCTCTGTGCATAGTTAGGACTTTGCCCCGCCCTTGGGGGTTTGGGCTTTTGGAACCCTCCAGATGCCCTGGGGGCCCGCGGCAGGACACAGGTGAGCAGGGCTTGTGGCGCCCATCCCCATCCTAGCCGCCTGGCGCCTGTGGGGCCTTCTTGCCGGTGCTTCCAGGAGCTCCTAGGGCCTCACTCTCCAGCCGCCAGCTGTGTACAGGGACATCAGGTTTGGTTCCCGTGTCCCCTGTGCTGCGTGGCCAGGCTCCTGGGCAGAGGCCCTGGGGTGGGGTCGGGGCACAGGCATCCCTGGGCTCGTGCTCAGCCTGTTTTTTGTTCAGGTGCAGCAGGGCTGGGAGTCCGTCGGTCTTTCCTGCTCATAGACTCGTTTTTGTTTTGAACTTATTTCAAAATTACAGGAAGTTGTAGGAGTGTTGAGAAAGCATCTCCCAGGACCTTTGAGAGAGCAAGCTGCCTCACGTCCCGGTGTCCGATGCTTCCCTGGGGGGCCACCCTCCTGCTTCAGCCCGTTGGGCGTGCGGGTCAGCTCTGCTCCTGTCACTGGCCTCGCTGCCCAGGCCCGCAGGCGGCACTGTTGTCACCCCATGTATGACTTGACACGGCCCTGCGACCCGTGGACTGTCGCCCCCACCCACAGAGGCCCCTGACGCCTGCACAAGCCCGCAGAGATGCCCTCCCTGCCCTGCATCAGGCCGCACTCCCTGGTGGCGGCGGGGGGCGGGGGTGCAGCAGGAGGAGCAGCGGTGCCTGGGTCCCCCAGAGCAGCCCCGGGCACCTTCTCACACCCGCCCCCATCCTGAGTGGCTGAGGCTGACTGGGAGTCCCAACACCTCCGCTTTCCGGTGGGGCCGGGAGAAAAGTAGGTCAGCCCCAGTGTGCCTGGAAGTTTCAGCACAAGGCCGCGGCGCCAGGCCTCACTCCCGCCGAGGGGATTCAGTCCTCGCGGAGCACCGGCTCTCACGGGCTCTCACGCACGCTCGGAGCTGGAAAGTCCTGCCTGACAGGCGCGCCGCTGCCTCTTGCTGGAAACCATCCGCCCTGGGTTGCTCCGGCATTGGGGGTCAGGGGGTGTCGGGGCCGCCGGCAGGGGTGGGTGTGAGGTGGAGCTGGAGGGAGGTGCGCACCAGAGCCTGCCTGTGCCCCAGCCCGGCCGAGGCCGTAGAGCCCACCGGAGGCCCGGAGGCCGTCTGCTGGCCTGGCGCCCCCCGACCCCCGGTCGGCCTTCCTGCGTTCCTGCGGCTGTGATGTGAGGCAGGCAGCGGGCACCCCGGAGCCTCACACCGTGCTGGAGCCCCGTCCTGCCCGGCCGCAGGGTGGGTGCACGGTGGGCTCGGATCCCAGCTTGCACCTGATGCCAGAGTCACTCTGTGCCCTTCACCCTAGAACACAGAGGCTCCGAAGCCCCGAACCCACGAGAGCTCCCCACCGCCCTCACAGAGGCAGGCTGGCCCAGCGCCACCGGAGGCCACCGAGCATCCTTGGAGCTGGACGCAGGCCGCTGGGCTCGCCCAGCAGGGAGGCAGAGCCCTGGGACGTCTGGCACCGCACCCCCCTCGGGCCTGGGCCCTGGGCCGGCCCGTGTGAGATTTCTCAGCGTTGGAGAGGCTGCATCCGGGCCGTGGCTCTGGGTTTACCTGTGGTGTGTGTGTCCCCCTGGGACCAAGGTCCCAGGGGAGCTGGAGCAGCTTCGGAGGGCCCAGCTCGGGGCCCCGCGCCATGGAGGCCCGCCGCGCTCAGCTGCCCTGCTTCTCTCCGGGCCGGTCCATGGCGGGTCCCCTGACCCCGGGGGCGGGTATGGCCCCTCCGACACAAACGTGCCCAGTGCTCGTAAAGGTCCACAGGCTCCTCCAGGTGGTTAGCGAACGAGTGTGACCCTGTGCCCCTGCCTCCGCGGGCAGTGAGGACACCGCCTCAGCACCTGGTAACTGCCGTCCACGCGGGCACTTGGCAGGCGGGGCTGGTGGCCTGGTGCCCGGCTGGTGGTGCAGGTGCAGGGCCTCCCTGCTCCTGAGGAGTTGGGTGCGGGCGGGCAGCCCGGGCGGCCGGAACGAGCACCACACCCGGGCAGCCCAGGCAGTGGGCAGCTGAGGTCAGGGTGCTGCTGGGGTTGGCTCCCCCGTGGCCTCTCTCCCGGCTGTGTAGACAGCCGTCGTCCCCGTGTCCTCACTCGTCGTCCCCGCACATCTGTGTTCTGATCTCTTCTCAGGGGGACACCAGTCTTGTTGGATCGGGGCCACCCTGGTGACGTCGTTAACAGCCTTGTGTTCAAACACAGGTGCACGTGGAGGTTCTGGCGATGACTTGAGTGTATGCGTTTGGGGACCAGCTTAACCCGTAGAGGGGATGTGCAGGCACCCGGGGTGAGGGCAGGCCCCCCAGTGAGGGCAGCTGAGGGGAGCGGGAGGTTGGCGGGAGGGCAGCCGGCAGCCTGCGTTCTGGTGAGGGAGGTGTCCTAGGAACAGAGGGCGTGTTCTGCTGGGCGGGCGAGGCCGGGGACACGCTGAGGACACCTTCCACGCTGGCCTCCAGAGAAGCTCCGTGTGAAGAGAAGTGGACTTTTCTTGCTACCCGAGGGGAATCAGCGACAAGGTCTGGGACCATCTCTTGCTTAGATTGTGCCGAGAAATTACAGACGGGGTGACCGGGAGCCTCTGCTCTGGGGGCCGGGTCCCCGGAGCCACCGGGCTTCTCTGCCCAGCCGGAGAGCACCTGCTTCCTCCTTGTGAGCTGTGTGGCCTCTCTAGCTGCCTGGTCACCTGCATCCCGTCCAGAGGTCCTCCTGGCGCAGCCCCGCAGGAAGCGCTCAGGGATCCGTCCTGACATGGGGCCGCCGCCTGGCCTGGGGGCCCAGTTCCGGGTCCTCCCTGTGGGAACGGAGCACCGCACTCACCCCTGTGTGTCTCTGTCCTCAGGTGCGGAGGCGAGGACTGTTTTGCCAAAGAAGGAGAAACTGAAGCTGCGGCGTGAGAGGTGGCTGCAAAGTAAGTTTGTCCCCATGCCCCCCGCCCCGCACGGCAGCGCCCTGACTCCCTCCTCCCCAAGCACATGGCTCTGGGCTCCTGGTGCTCCGGGCTGGCTCATCAGCACGCAGATGACTGCTGTCCCGAGGGTTTTACAGGACATCCGTCCCAGGGCGTGGGCCCGCCACCTTCCTGTGAGATTGTGCCTTGCAGACCTTTCTCCGGCCGAGGCAGCCCGGGGTGCTCTGGGTGTGACGGGGCATCTGGCCCTTCCTTCCCAGGGCCTGTCTGAGGGGCTTCGTCACGCGGCTCTAGCAGACGCCTCCCCGTGCTGGGTGCCTCGCTCCCACCAAGTGTCTTTGGAAAAGAGAGTTATTTTTCATGATCCTGAATATTCACTGATGGTTTTCTAAGCGTTTTCTTAGGAGGCTTGCTTTGCAGTTTTTTCTTGCTGTTCTCATTTTATTTTATTTTTGTTTTGTTTTTTTAAGATTTTATTTATTTATTCACGAGAGACACAGACACACACACACACAGGCAGAGGGAGAAGCAGGCTCCCTGTGGGGAACCCGATGCGGGACTCGATCCTGGGTCTCCAGGATCACACCCTTGGCTGAAGGCAGGTGCTCCACCGCTGAGTCACCTGGGGATCCCCTGCTGTTCTCATTTTAGTATGATTCTGCTGACTTTTTTTTTGTTCATTTATTTATGTTTTTGAATTTTTGATTTTGCTGATTTTTAAAATTAATTTGTAGTATCCCTGTATGTCCTCTCCTGGTTATTAATTAGTTTTTTTCTTGAAGGTTTTATTTATTTATTTATTTATTTATTTATTTATTTATTTATATTTATTTATTTTATGGTAGTCACACACACACACACACACACAGAGACATAGGCAGAGACATAGGCGGAGAGAGAAGCAGGCTCCATGCACCGGGAGCCTGACGTGGGATTTGATCCGGAGTCTCCAGATCTCGCCCTGGGCCAAAGGCAGGCGCCAAACCGCTGCGCCACCCAGGGATCCCTCCTTGAAGGTTTTAAAGAAAACCTATGTTTTTTATCTTCTAGAGAAATCTGTCAACTTCTTCCAACAATTATTTTATATTTTGTCACTTTATGGGCTGTTTGTTACAGAAGTGACTCATTTGTGCATTTTCTTTCCCACAGTCCCCGCATGGGGTTGTGCGGAGTATTCTCTGTCAATCTAGACTCGGAGCAGACAGACTGGCCGTGGGCCCTGCGTGCCTCTGCCCTCCAGCGTGCCGTGATATTGGAAACTCTCTCCATGCTGCTCGGTCTTTTGTTGTCACTCCTCGAGCCGGGCATGGCCACTTCTCTTTTCCCCTCTTAGCATCTGCTCTAATCAGATCCCCACTGTCACTGGCAAGGGGCCCCTGGCCTCTCATCGTCCCAGGTCCTGTTTGTTTCCCGTATTTGCGTCCCTTTCTTGACCTTCTCGTTACTTTATCTCTCCCATTGCAAGAGTTAAGTCTTGTATTTACTAGTCAATTCTACTTTCTTGTGCCCTAAATTATTAGTTTCTGGTTTTCTAATACCCTGTTCTTACTTTCTTTAGGTCTGAGTTACTTGGCTCGTTGTTCTTAGTTGTGTCGAGGGTGGAGGGCTGGGTGAGCTGTCCCGCCCAGCACGGGCTTACCTGGTTTTATTGTGAAAATTTCATACAGAAAAGCAGGGAGAACTTGACAGTGAACACGCTGCTGATTCCCACCACCTAGATGTGCCGTGGACCCTGTTCCTTACCACATCTGCCCATTCCCGTCCGTCTGTCCACCACCCCGTCTGCTGGCCCCGCATTCCTGAGTGAGCGGCTGTCAGGACACTTCCTCCCGGGTGATTCTGCTACAGCTCAGTATCTGCTGATGGTTCTTTTCCATCTTTATTTTGAGTGGAACTGTCATGCGATGAGGTGCAAACCTGAGGACCACTCAGTGACCTGTGAGCAGGGCACACGCTGGTGCAGCCAGAGTCCCTGCAGGATGCAGGCCAGCCCCCTGCCAGGAAGCCTCCTGTGCCTTCCCACTCAGCGCCCATTATCGACCGCCCCGGAGGTGACCACGGTCTCGTCTTTTGAGTCACAGTTTTAGATTTTATTGCTCTCGACATCCTATAAGTGGAATCTTGCAGGGTGTGTCGTCTGTGTCTGGATGTCTGCTTCGCGTGGGAGGCCTCTGCTGCGTGCGGCTGTAGCCTGTGCCCTTCTCTTGAAGGAAGGGTTTGTCTGGCTGCACTGTTTGCTCCCAGTTTCCTATTGATGGATACCTCGTTTTCTCTTTTTAGCTACTATGAAAAAGGCTGCTACGAACATTCTTTGTAGGTCTCCTCGTGGAGTATGTTCTCATTTCTCTTGGATGAATCCTTGGGAATGGAACGCCGGGTTGGAGGGCAGATGTATGCTTAGTTTTATAAGCAACTGCCAGACGTTTCTCTAGAGTGGTGCTATGTTTACACTTCCACCGCGGAGGGGCATCCCGGCTGGGCCACAGGGTGTCTGGCTCCCCGCGGGCAGGGCGCGGCCGCTCCTTGCCTTCTGCTCTCAGGCCAGCCGAGCATTGCTTGAGCGCTCCAGTCAGGTGTGGTTTTGTGGGGCCCTTTGCCGCCTGTTATCATGCTCCAGGAATTGTTCTGACGTCCCGAAGGACAGCCCTGCGTCACACGCGTGGCTGTAGATTTTCCTCCAGACTGCAGCTTGCCTGTTCGTTTTCTTTCTTTCTTTCCTTTTTTTTTTTTTAAGCTTCAGTTAGACAACGTAAAGTTCATACTTGGTTTCAGAGGTATGTCTGATTTTGACAAAGAGAAGTTTAATTTTGAGGCATCTGATTTAGAAACCTTGCCCAGTCTGAAGTCTTAAAGATGCTGTTCTGCTTTTCTAAAATCTTCACAATAGTTAGGTTAGTTAGGTTTCTGATCCATCTTGAGTTAGTGTTCGTGGCCTGAGGGCCGGCTGAGGCTCTTTCCCCCTCCGCGTGGATGCTCAGTTATCCTGGCGCTATTTGCGATCAAGACTTTTCTTCCCTTGTGATTGCTTTGGTTGCTTTGCAGAACATTACGTGGCCTCCTGAGTGTGGTTCTGTTTGACGCCTTCACAAGTACCGGGCAGCCTTGGGGAGGTTGTGGCCTCACATAGCAGACGCCCTCCTTCTTGGCTCTTCTGTGTGTCCAGGTCCTCAGCGTTTCTGTGTAAATTTACCGTAGGCGCGTTGACGTCTTAAACCCGCTACCACCACCAACCTTGGTAGCCTTGTGACCGCGGTTGCTTTGAGTGTGTAGATCGGTTTGGGGGAAGTTGCCGTGTCAGCAATACTGAGTCTGCAAGTCCACGAACATAGTATATTTCCCTATTTACGTGGATCTTCTTTAACGTCTGTTCTCGGTGCCGTAGAATTTTCAGGGTAGAGGTCTGACGTGGTTTTGGTTTTGGTTTTATTAAGCTGATTACTGATAGCTTCATGTTTTCTGAAGTTATCATTGATGGGATTCTCAAAAATTTCGTTTTCTAGTTTTGTACTAGCATATAGAAGATGGATTTTTAAAAGTACCGTATCTTTGACAGTGGTAAAATCAGGTATGCTGATAATTATTTTGTAGATTCCTTACAACTTTCTACGTAAAAAAATCATGTTGCCTAAAAAGGATAGAGTTTTGCATCCTCCTCTACAAACGTGTTTTCGTGTCCTCTCTTCATCATCCAACAGGGCCTTGAACCTTTGGTGCACTGAAGGAAGGGGTGCGAATTGTGCCCAGCCCGGGGCCAGGGCTTGGGACTGGCCACACAGGTGCGCACAGCAAGGTGCCGTCAAGTGCTCTCTGCGTCAGGCCTGTTTCTAAGGAACTTCCCCCAGCTTCTAGTCGATGAGCAGGTGTGGGCAGGGATGTGAGGAGAGTGACGGGGCATGTGCTTGCCTCCTCCTCCTCCTGAACTCTGTTGGCGGGAGAGCCCAGCCCATACAACTCTCCCACGGTCAGCATCCGCCTAGCCGGTGAAGGTGTTTTTGGAGGCTCAGCATGTGGAATGCTTTCTTGATTACACCTCAAGCCACGTAGAATGAAGAGGTGTTGGTCCCTGGCAGCCTTCCAGAGCCAGTGGAGGGGGAGTGGTAGGGGCAGGAGGAGCCCCTGACCCCCAAAATGCTCAGAATCTGCTGCTCTAGACCACGCAGTTGGTAGAATGGGCCTTTCCTTGCCATTCTGCTTACCAGTGGGCTGGGCGTGAGATTCTCCCCACAGGGAGAAACCAGCACCCCCAGAGGGGTTTACCTGGAGAGAAGTCAGTGAAGGGGCTGTTTGCAGCCTAGGTTCAGAGAGGTGGGCAGGAGGCCCCTTCCCACCTGGCCTGGACCGTGGAAGGGAGGCTTCGGTGCCAGAAGAGGGTGTAGCAGGGTCCAGGCCTCAGAGGACGCTCCAGGCACGCCTCTCCCTCCCCCTGCACCCCTGGCTCTGGCTCTGGGGCAGACGGGGGAGTGGGCTGGGCTGGGCAGGGCCCCGTTGTCCTCTGCAGCGTGCTGTCGGCCAGGGTCCCCGTGCCAAGCCCACAGCACAGAACTGACACCCCTTTAAGTTCACTGTTGCACCTCCTGGAGCCCCCAGGCTGGAATGAAAGGCACCCAAATCTGAGGGACACAGTAATATTTCAGTCCCACATAAAAAGTTATAAAACTGTTTAGGAGATACGGATGGAGCTGAAGACCCCATTCACTAGCACGCTGTGCACGGGAGAGCCTCGGTTAGTTGTGCAGGATTAAACACGCAGGCCTTGGGATCCCTGGGTGGCGCAGCGGTTTAGCGCCTGCCTTTGGCCCAGGGCGCGATCCTGGAAACCCGGGATCGAATCCCACGTCGGGCTCCCGGTGCATGGAGCCTGCTTCTCCCTCTGCCTGTGTCTCTGCCTCTCTCTCTCTCTCTCTCTCTCAACTGTGTGCCTATCATAAATAAATAAAAATTAAAAAAAAAAAACACGCAGGCCTTGCTCTTCTCCTGGGGGTGGAGCTCTAGAAATGTGTGGTGTGCACGTGCGTGTGTGCGCTGGTGTTTTGAGGTTTTTGATTTCTATTATATTTGTGTTTAATCCTTAGTTTTTAGGGTAGGCGGTTTCCCCAGAAGCCCCGGGACGCTGCTCTGTTAGGATTTCTGTCACTTTGTGATTTGCCTCAGCCTCCAGTAGGCCCACTTCCTTGTTGCTTGTTCTTGTAAGAAAATGTTTCTGTTATTCACACATTTAGTCTTTTTTTTTTTTTAAGATTGTATTTATTCATGAGAGACACACAGAGAGAGGCAGAGACCCAGGCAGAGGGAGAAGCAGGCTCCCAATGGGGAGCCCAGTGCAGGACTCGATCCCAGGACCCCACGGTCACACCCTGGGCCAGAGGCAGACGCTCTACTGCTGAGCCCCCCAGGTGTCCCTAGGTCTTTTTTTTTTTTTTCTTCTTTAGGGTAAGATTGGAATTAGCTTCACAGGTTCAGTTGAAAGTCCTGTTGAAGTTTGAGGCTGTGTCAGCTTTGCAGGTTGGTTGTGTGCGGCAGCCGAGCCCCGTCCTGTGGGTTCTCATGGTCGCCAGCCCCGCACCACCACCACCACCCGCCCTGGGTGTGGAGCCGGCCACGAGGGGTTGGTGGGGGGGGGGGTTTCTGATGTTTCGCTAGAGAGTGTTATTTCTGGCACATAACCTCTTGTCACATTAAGGAATTTGCTTCCGTTTGTGTTTTTTTTTGTAATTTTCATGGTGAGTGGATAGTGAGTTCTCTCATGTTCCTTTGACACTTCCTTTTTTTTTTTTAATTTTAAAGACTTTATTCATTTATTCCTGAGAGACACAGAGAGAGGCGGAGACACGGGGAGGGAGAAGCAGGCTCCCTGCGGGAAGCCCAATGTGGAACTCGATCCCAGGACCCTGGGGTCATGCCCTGGGCCGAAGGCAGATGCTCAACAGCTGAGCCACCCGGGCATCCCTCCTTTGGCACTTCTGTGGCGATGATGGCCTTCCTGTTTAAACGGACCCCAGTGGACCTCCTGGCAGATGTCCCCGTGTGCAGCTGTCCTTGTGTGCCTCAGTTACACTCCAGTAGGGAGCATGTGTCACACACTTAAAGCGCTTCCAGCTGGGATTTGTGAACATTTGTGTAGCTGTGTGCATGTGTCTTCCCAGGAACCGCGGGCCTGTGCTTGGCTGCCCTTGGGCCCTGGGCCGGTCTGTCAGCCGCTGAAGGGGCTGCGGTCTCAGAGTGCCCACCCTGGCCTTTGCAGCCTTCCCAGGATGCTTGGCTCACGGGGAAGAGGCCACCTGGCTTGATGAGATGCTCAGTGAATTGGGCCTCTTCCTGCAGGAGAGAAAGTACTGAATGGTCATCTTGTGAGTCCTAATAATCGGGAGCATTGCGGGCTTGCTCCGTGCTTGAGGGGCTGACGAGCTGAGCCATCCATGCTCCCTTGAGCTCAGCTCTTCAGGGCGAGGTGAGCAGCCTTACTCCCTGGGGGCCCCAGGACTCTCTTAGGGCCCGTGGTTGGGGGCAGCATGTGTGTCCTTGACTTTGGACCAGGCAGGGTGGGCTCTTCAGAGCTTGCGGGGCCTTGGGGGGTGGGTGGTGGCACTGCCCTAGCACCACAGGCTTGCTGAGCTGGCTCTTACCTCGGGGAGGCCCTCCTTGGTGCTTCTCCCTGGCAGGTGTGTCTGCAAACTGGTCTCTTGAAGATGCCTGTTGGGGTCACCCCTCACCACTTGCCTTTCACGTAGGCTCCCTGGGGCTCTGTGTGGACCTGATCCGTTGGTACCGGGCGGCGCGCTGTCCACAGTCTGTCCTCCGTGCTGGGGTTCCCGTCCGGGCCTGCCCAGCGCCCTGTGGTCACTGCTTCTCTGGATGCTGTGGCCGACGTGCCCTTAGGGGCTGTCGGACCTAGTCCTACAACAGCAGCAGCTCACGGGGCAGCAGCCCCATACCTGGCCTGTGCGGGCTAGTGGCTGGTGGTCTCTGGGCTGCGACTCCGCCTGGCTGTTTGTCAGGAAGGTGGCTTTTCACGGCCTTTTTAAGTGTGATCCTGTGTACGGCTGGCTGTTCAGCAGGGTAACGGGGCTCAGGCTCAGGTCTGGTCATCCCACAGCAGCTCTCCTGTCTCAGCTTTTCTTAAAGATTTTTTTTTTAATTTTTATTTATTTATGATAGTCACACAGGGAGAGAGAGAGAGAGGCAGAGACACAGGCAGAGGGAGAAGCAGGCTCCATGCACCGGGAGCCCGACGCGGGATTCGATCCTGGGTCTCCAGGATCGCGCCCTGGGCCAAAGGCAGGCGCCAAACCGCTGCGCCACCCAGGGATCCCTGTCTCAGCTTTTCAAGAAGAGAGCTGATGCAGAACAAATTAACATCCGCCAGTGCAGAGCTTGTGCATCTTTCATGTAGAACAGCCTCTGGCTCTTTCTTCAGTGGTGTTTGAACCCTGGCCCTGCCCGCTGTCTCCCTGGGGTGAGAGCTGTACACAAACCAGTGAGCGGGCATTTCCCACCAGCCACACTGGAAATAATGCATTAGAATATGTATTTTACTAGCAATTTTGAAACAAAAATTTTTTAGATGATTGATTCCTGAGAGACATGGGGGGGGGGTAGGCAGAGACACAGGCAGAGGGAGAAGCAGGCTCCATGCAGGGAGCTCGATGTGGGACTTGATCCCGGGTCTCCAGGATCAGGCCCTGGGCTGAAGGCAGATGCTCAACTGCTGAGCCACCTGGGGATCCGCTTAACGAAGCAGGGTGGGGGGCAAAGGGAGAAGCACACTCCCTGCTGAGCAGGGGGCCCGAGGGGCTTGATCCCAGGACCCCAGGATCATGACCTGAGCCGGAGGCAGACGCCTCACCCACTGACACCTGGGTGCCATGAAATAAAAGCATCACTAAGTGAAAATCAAAAGCCAAGGCCTTGGGGCACCCAGGTGGCTAGTTGAGCGTCTGACTCTTGGTTTCGGCTCAAGTCATGCTCTCAGGGTTTTGGGATCGAGTCCTACATCCTGTCGGGCTCGGTGCTTGTGCTCAGCGGGGAGCCTGCTGAGACTTTCTCTCCCTCTACCCCCTCCCCCACATGCGATGTCTCTCAAATGAATAAATCTGAAAAAAAATCCCGAAACTGTGTCCCCAGTGCAGGCCCTGCCCATGTCCCTTCTCCAGTGCAGAGGCCCTGTCCTGTGGTCAGCGGCAGCCACCGCTCCAGCGCCCCTGGCCTGCCTTGCTGCCTCCTTCCTCGGGCCTCAGTGGTGCTCCTTGGAGGCTCCGGGCCACTATGTCACCTCCCTAGATGTGGGGACCCGCTTCCTTCCTCCTGGTGTGTCTCAGGACAGACTTGGGGGGCACAGGAGAGCATGACCCCACCACCCAGGGACTCTTTGTTCACCCTGTCCTCCCCTCGCCCGCCTGCCCAGAGCATGGGGCCTCAAGAGAAGAGAAGGCCTCAGCGCCTGCAGCTCAGGCTCAGCACCCGCCCTCAGGACGGGCCTGCCTCCCCGCTTCCCAGGGCCCTGTAGGTGCCGCCAGGAGAGAACCGGGCCTGCTGGTCACTAACCCATTGCCCCTCCCGCCCCCTGCCCCACCTCAGAAATCGAAGCCATAAAGCTGGCTGAGCAGAAGCGCAAGGCGGAGCGGAGACGGAGGGCCACGGTGGTGGTGGGGGACCTGCAGCCCCTGAGAGACGCGCTCCCTGAGCTGCTGGAGCTGGAGGCTGCTGGCTGGCAGCCACGGACCAGAGGGTGAGTGTCCGTCTGGGGCTGCCTGGGGAGTGCAGGCCAGGGAGCCCGAGAAGCAGCAGCTGGGGCAGGTGTAGGGGGGAGGCAGAGGCCACAGAGGTGCCTCACCTGCGTGTCGATGCTTCTGTGGGCAGGCACTGTGGTGACGGCGTCCTGGGGCTGGAGCCCTGGGGCCTGGCCGGCATGTTGGTGAGGGGCGCCTGTCGGCCTTCTCCGGTGGGGGCCTCGGAGCAGCGTAGCCGGGGGTGGAGGTGGGGGACCTTGCAGGGGCGCCGTCCAGCACTGCTGCTGGGCTTCATTCCCTCGGCCCCACTGCTTCACTCCCAGGGGCACAGCCCGCACCGTGCCTGCTAGCTGTGGCCCCCCCACCCAGAAGCACGCATTCCTGTGGCGCTTCCTGCCTCCCCGGACATGCGTGCTGGAGAAGAGCCAGTCCTTCTGCTGTCCCTCCCGTGTCTCGTCGCAGGCTGGGGGGTGGGGGTGTCAGGCGAACTGCTCAGGGCCACGTGGCCCTGGAGCCAGAAGACCCCAGGCCAGCTCCCGGGATGGAAGCACCCAGAACCATTGGTCTGGACAAGGAGTCCAGGAGTGGCCGTCACAGTGCAGATTGGTGATGGAGCAGAGCCTGAGATGCAAATTCCCCTCGGTGCTTGATAAAACATGTGACCCCGGTCAAGTGTCTTTCCCCAGTTTTCAGTTTTCTCATCTGAAAAATGTGCTCGGGGCTCCCAGAGGGGAGAAGCGCTGTGTAAGCACCCGGCCCGCAGCCCGAGCAGGAATGTGGGTGTCCTCGAGGAGCCGGGCGGCTGGGCTGGGCTGTGCTGGAGGTCGCTCCCGCTCCCCGGGTACGTGAAGGTCCCCGGCTGGTCTCCTGCTCACTGTCCCTCCTCAAGTGTGTCTTGGCACTGGGGAGCTGTTGGTTTGAATAAATATTATTTTAGAACAGCTTTAGATTTACAGAGAAATGGTAAGAGAGGACACTGAGCGTTCCCACGTCCCTGACGCCCAGCTTAAGGAACTGGTGTTGGTACGTAAGTAACGGTGAGGGGATAACGCCCATAGGTTGTTCACGTTTCCTCAGTGACCCCTAATGTCCCTCTTCTGTCCAGCATCCCTCCAGGACACCACGGGACATTGGCCACGACCCTTTACATCCCCTCTGGGCCCTGACAGCTCTTCTGATGACCCTGAGTTTTGAGGGGCACCTGTGGGGCATTTGGGGAGCTGCCCCTCGGTGGGATTAGCACGATGGTTTCTCTGATGGGACTGGGTCCTGGGTGGTTGGGGGGGACGACCCCGGAGGGGGATTGCCCGGCCCATCCCACCCGGCCCAGGTGCGTGCCGTCCACACGACCTGTCGCTGATGTTGGCTGTGGTCACCTGGCGGAGGTGTGTCTGCCAGGCGTCCCCACTCCATGGTGCTCCCTCCCCTGCCCGCGCTGTCCCCTGGGGAAGGGCGTCACCGCGCACAGCCCACACCTGGGGAGTGGGGAGGTGGGCGCCGCTCCCCGGGGACGGAGCCGCTGTGCCCACATGGTGGGATCCTCCTCGGGAGGAGGAGGGTCAGTACTGTTTCTGCATCAGGCGGGACTGAGTCCCGTGTGGACGTCCATAGGGACGCGTGGATATTTATTCACTACCATGGGCTGTGATCCAGCACGCCTTCCCTCTGTGGCCAGGGCTGACCCCGCTCTGGCCCCCGGGAGCTCCTTCAGGCAGGCGCCGTGTCCCTCTGATGTGCCCACCGAGATGGGTGCTGGGTTTTGTTTTTGAGCACGTCCTTCCGTTCCAGCTCTCCAGGGGCTCCAGGCTCACCTTGGCCACTTCCTGCCCAGCCTAGAGTCAATGTGTCTGCAGGGAGCCCTGGTCCCTCCTGCTGCCAGAGGGAGGAAATCTGTGCGTGCGTGCACCCTGTGTGTTCCTGCAAAGTTACCAGAACAGTTTACAAGACCCTTCTCACTTTTTTTTAATATTAAGCATTAGCCACACCCACCGTGGGGCTCAAACCCACAACCCCGCTACCAGGAGTCCCATGCTTTGCCGACTGAGCCAGCCAGCCAGCCACGTGCATTTCTAACGCTGGCTCCAAATCTGGGGTCCCCAGGACCACTCTGAGTTTCAGTAATTGCCTAGGACTCAACACCCCCGGCTGAAGGGCCTGGGCTAACGTCAGCTGAGGGGGAGGCCTGTGGGGCAGGGAGCAGGAGGGTTCCAGATGCAGAGCTTCCAGCTGTCCTCTCCCCGTGGGTGCACCGTGACAATATGCAGGGACTGTTGCCAACCAGCAGTGCGCGCCAGCCCCTGTGTCTCCCGCCCCCGGTAGCTGGTAAAAGCATTGCCTTCGGTCCCTTTACTCCATTCCTGTGCCGCATCTCCCCGAGCTAACTGGAGCCCAACAGGGAGCCCTCAGCCCCATTTCTTAGAGCGGGGCCCCCATGCCATCACCTCTCACCCTTCAGCCCTGAGAGCAGGCCGGGCCTTCAGTGTTGTCACAGGAGGTGTTGGGTCCCCTTGGTGGCCTTCACCAGGGCAGGGTCCTTGGAGCCAGGGAGAAGCTTCTGTGCTTGAGGGTGCTTCACAGCAGAGGCTGACTGCAAAGCACACAGATTACAGAAGGCTCTGCTGACTGGGGTGTGTTGCCACCACTCCTCCAGGCAAGTCCTGGACTCAGGGTTGGACAGGAGCCACCTTGTGGCTCTGGATACCCAGACCTGAGTGCAGGGGTCACCAGTTACCTACTGGGACACGCTGACCAAGGCCGGGGGCCGCTCCAAGCCCGTTCCAAATCCATGAGGTGGCCTCACAGGGCAGTGGCTGCAGGGAGCCTGAGGCTCTGAGCCGTTAGAGCACGCCTTGGCACGGTGTGTCCCAGACCACTGGGTGGGCGCCGCACAGCACAGGTTGCATGCAGGGCTCCCGAGACCAGCCAACATGCAGGCACTGACGCTGCTCATCAGTGGAAGATTAGGTTCTCTAGGAAATCAGCCCTCTGAGCAGAAGAGCGTCAGGCGAAGGTCATCATGAGATCATGAGTTGGGGTGGGGAGCTTTGTGTAGCTGAGCCACTAGGCCGGCCACCCACTGGACCTCATATGGTCCTGGTGGCCTTAGCTGTGTCTCGAGGCTGCTGCCACTGATAAATAAAAATTGAAAAATCGAAAAACAAACAAACAAAAAGACTGCACTTGGCCCATTGGCACCGAGAGGATTCCCAGATGTGTCTACACTGATGCTCTGCTATCAGAGCTAGAGGGCCGTGGGGGGCTCAGTGGATTTTACCTTTTTATTTTTTAAAGATTTTTATTTATTTACTCATGAGAGACACAGAGAGAGGCAGAAACATAGGCAGAAGGAAAAGCAGGCTCCCCACAGCGAGGCCGACGCAGGACTCGATCCTGGGACCCTGGGGTCACGCCCTGGGCTGAGGGCAGATGCTCAGCCACTGAGCCACCCAGGTGCCCCTTACCTTTTTATTTTCTTTCTTTCTTTCTTCCTTTCTTCCTTTTCTTCCTTTTCTTCCTTTTCTTCCTTTCTTCCTTTTTTTCTTCCTTTCTTTCTTCCTTTTCTTCCTTTTCTTTTTTTAAGGGAGGAGGGGAGAGAGGGAGAGAGAATCCCAAGCAGACTCCCTGCTGAGCACAAAGCCCAACGTGGGGCTCGATCTCACAACCCTGAGATGACCTGAGCTAAAATCAAGAGTTAGACACTGAACTGACTGAGCCACCCAGATGCCCTGATTTTACTTTTTTCATAGGTTAGGGTGCAGAAGGGCGGATCCAAGGCCTGGGCTCCCTGACCTCCCGCAGTGTCCTGGGGATGCCAGCCGCTTCTGCCAGGGGCCTGCCGCAGGGTGGACACGGGGAGGGCAGCAGTGAGAGGAGCAGACCGGTGTGGCCTGGGGCTCAGGGTGACTCGGGAAAGGCCAGCTGCAGGCGGGGCATCTGAGGCGGGCCCCAGGATGCACGTGGCTCTGAGCGCAGAGGGCCGTCTGGGCAGGCCCGCGCTGAGCATGGGTGCCCAAGTCCGCGGGAGCAGTGGGGGCACGTGCGGGCTGTCTTGGGCCCACGAGACAGGTCTTTCATTCATATTTCAACAGAAACCATGAATAAAGGATGAGGGCTCCTGGTCTGGAGGCTAAATTTAGGTGTTGGCCTGGGGCTCTGGTTTTCTCGCCCTGGCAGCACGGACACGTGTGTGCCTCGGGGTGACGGCTCCGTGGGGAGGCAGGCTGCGCCGACTCCAGGGCGCCTGTGCCGACTTGCTTGTCTGTGTCCCCAGCAGGGTGAGCCGCAGGCCCCGGCCCGCCGAGTTCAGCCGCATGAGCGCTGCACAGAGGCTTCAGCTCCTGTGAGTAGCCCCCTCCCCCGTCCTCCCACCTCACCCCGGTGCTCTCTGGCCTCTGTCCCAAGTGCTTGGTCCACTCGGGCACCGTGGGCAGTGTGGCCAATGGCTCCTCTTGCTGGTGTGAGGCAGCCTGTTCATAGCTGGGCCAGGGAGCAGATGCTACCAGAACGAGCTGCCGGCTGTTGGGGATCACCCTTGGAGCCCAGAGCCCCCTGCATCCCGGGCGTTCCGGGTGTGGACCCCTGGCTCGGGCGGTCAGTCCAGTGGGCTCATTGTCCCTGCCAGCGGCCGAGGGCACGGGCCCCTGGAGGTCTGGCCTGGCCCCCCATCAAGTGCACACGGGTGCAGCACCGGCTTGGCTGCTCCCCACGCGCCCACGCCAGGGCCGTCCCTGCCTGTGCTTGTTCTGAAGCTGCCCCCCTGACGTTTCAGTGTGGAGGTCTCCTCCTGCAGGGCATCTGGCCAGGCTCCTGCAAACCTCGGGCTGGCTCCAGTGCTTCTGAGAGGTGGCCTGACTGTGGCGCCACCTGGGAGCTGGCTGGGCTTAGAGACCCGGGGGAGACGGGCAGCCAGCACTGCGGGCTCGGGGCGCAGGAGGAAGCCTCCAGGCCCCACGCGGGGCAGCCACTGCAGTGTCTGTCGGCACCCTTGGTGACAAGGGCCGGGTCGGTCCCGTGGGCTGCAGGGCTCCTGCCCTCCATTCCCGCAGCACCCCTGGTCTGGCAGCACTGCGGGTCCGCCTCCCCACGTCGATCAGGGGCCTCCTCTCTGAGTAGCAGCTCCACATCAAGGTGGGGCAGGGGGCGGAGGCCGAGAGCCCACCTCCTGGGGAGGCAGGGGTGCCAGTCCCCCCAGACCCACGGGTGGGCACGGTGGCTCCTGAGCCTGTGTGTGATCGGAGGAGGCCCCAGGGCGGCTGCTCTCTTCCTGCCCAGAGCGCTTGCTCAGCCCCCTGGGCCTGACCAGCAAGGCCGCTCCTGAGCCCTCTTCCTGCCTTGCCGCCTTCCTCACCCTCCCGCACCCCACCCCACCCCACCCCCGTGGTCAGCCCTGGCCTGGGCTGCCCGCCCTGAGGTCCTCAGGGGTGGGTTGGCCGAGGCGGGGCTGATGCTCATCCCCACCCACCCCCACGAGGGCTGTGGGGTTTGCTGACCTGCTCTGATCTCCGTTCTTTCAGTGAGGAAGAAAGTGCCCGTTTTCGGGAGCTGCTGGCCAATCCGACCTACAGGGCCAGCCCCCTGCTGGCCATCGGGCAGCGGCTGGCTCAGCAGATACAGCTGGACAGCGGCAGCCAGCTCTGAGTGGCTGTGACCCCGCCGGGAGGCGTGCCGTGAGCCCCAAGATCGCCCCTCGCAGGCCTTGCACCGAACCTGGTGCAACGAATAAAGGTGTGATCTCAGGCATCGGGGTGGGGGCAGTTCTCTGTGCCCCCCGCAGGCCCCTGCGCTTCCAGACTGCTCTGAGGCTTCTCCAGGTTGGCCAGCCAGGATGGCTGCCCGCGGTCCCCGGGCCCCCACAGCATCCAGCACCCAGCACTCGGGGCTGTGAGGACCCCCGCTGCTCCGCAGCCCTGAGATGCCGTCGTGTCGGGTTCTGTGGGAACCTGCTGCCCTCCCACTTCCCAGGGGCTCAAATGGGACACCTCGTGCTGTCCTGTCCTGCCCCGTGCCACCCTGGCCCTTCCCTCGCCGGGTCCCCTTTAGCTCCAAGCCTGTGTTGTTCCCCGCCTGTTCCTCTGACTCAAGTGGACAGGGCCCGGTTGTCCACAGTCCGAGGCTGGGAGCCAGCCTGGTCCCACCTGGGGCCACATGGCTGACCTGCAAGCGAGATGACTGTGTGCTAGAAGCCTGGGCTTTGGAGGCCAGACTGCAGGAACACTGACGGAAAGCCTCAGTTTGAGGATGTGGAGGGGGCTCCTTCTCCCGGCCCCACAGGCCGAGGCTTGTCCAGGGGGTGGGAGCTGGGAGTGCTGCGTGGGGACTCCTTGCCCGCATCCTGCAGGGTTGGTGGTGGTGGTGTGTGGCCCAGGGGTCTGGGCACCCCTACGCGGCTGTGGGGGGTGGGCTCCAGCCTTGGGTGCTGTGTCTGTGCGTTCAGGCGCCAGGCACTAGGCTTTGTGGCTCAGCGGCGTGGGCCCAGGTATGTCCTCCCCCTCCGTGGCCAGCGTGCTCACGATTCACGGACACCTGAGCAGCGCCCTCCTCCAAGGCCGTTTGGGAACCGGCGGCTGAACGGAATCCAAGCCCGTGCCCCACCCCTCCTTGGGCATCCCGGGCCCCTTCTCTGCACAAGAGCACACAATGTGGGCACTTTCCAGGCACGGGACGCAGACAGGGACAGATGTGACCGTGAGGCTGCAGGTGGGAGCCTGAATCCCCTCGGCCAGAGGGCAGCACGGCCCTCCAGCCAGGACCGCCAGCCCCTAAGCGACGGGTCGTTCTTGTTCTCCGCACAGAACTCGGTTCTCTAGACGGGAGATCAGCTGCTTACAAAATGATATTTGTGACGAACTGATTTTTGCAATAAAATAAGTGCTGGGAGAAACAGTGGGGTGCGGGCGCCGTGGCGTTTCTCCATCACGCTTGTCTGTCTGAGTTTGGGGATGATGACTGAGGCCGTATGTGGTGTCCTGAGGGGCCTCCAGCAGCTCCAGTGTGACGACGGCCGGCGTGCTCCCCTCACTGTGCTCTCGGCTGCCCAGGAGCGCGTGTGCTGTGGGAAGGGGAGAGGCCGGCCCAGGGTGGGCGGGTTCCCCGCGAGGAGGTAACGCACGCGCCGCCCCGACCACTGAGCTCAGAACGCACCCCAAGATGACCTAGAAGCCTCGAACGTGCAGGGACCTCGCCCGCAGAGCAGAGTGCGGGGCCCTGATGACAGCTGCTGCTCAGATGAGCGGGGCTCGTGGGGTGGGAAAGGCCGCCCCTGTGCGTCCCCTGCAGCCGAGCAGGAAGGGAAGCGGCGTGCGTGCGTGAGGTGGACCTCGCCAACTTGGTAAGTTCAGGTGGTGGAGCGGAGCAGTCGGGCGGTGGTGGTGCATTTTAAACCCTGTGCACTCCTGCCGTGGCGCGCCCACCCCGCACCAGGCTTACCTCTCAGGGCTCCTGGTGAGGAGGCCAAGGGATCTACCCAGCCAGAAATTTTCAAGACCCCCTTTTGCACTCCAGTGACCCACCCAGATCCTCCTTCCCCATACAGCCCTCCCCTGGTCCCTTCTGGAGCTCTGGCTGCGGCGTCTGCTGCCCCACTCTGCCGGACGTGGGCCTCCGTTGTCCTGTGCCGTGATCTCCCCGTGTGACAGACCCCCCCCAAAGCATGGAGCCACGTGCTTTCCCCGCACGTCTGGGCCAGGCCGGGCTCGCCTGAGGCTGCCACTGGACTTGTTTGTTGGGCACCCCATTACCACACGGGGTGGCTTTGGACACCGGAAACGTATTATCTCGGGGAGTCAGGGCGACGCCACCTGCCCTGCAGCGGCCTCCGACAGAGGTGTCCCTTCCCTTTCCAGTGTGCTGTCTGCCAGCGGCTCTGGGGTCCCTCCTGGGTGTCCCTGGCCCTCCCTCTGCCTTCTCATGAGTCGCTGGGTCGGGGCCCACCCTCCTGCAGTGTGACCCCACCTCCACTTCTATCCCCTAGTACAGTTCCGCTCTGAGGTCCCTGGCAGACGGGAAGCTTTAGAGATCAGCGAGGCCTGGGGGGAGGTCCCGGGCCGACAGGATGCACATCTGCACATCCAGAGTGGACTACCTGTCGCCAAGTGGGGCGGGAAATCCCTGCACCGCCAAGCGCTGGGCGTTGGGAGGCCTGGTGGGTCGGGGTCTGACGCGGGCCAGGGCACTGGGGCGTGGGGCAGCGGAGGACCGCAGAGCGCTGCGCTGGGGCTTCGGGCGGTGGGCTGGGGCCCCCTCGTGGTGGCGGGGCCTCTTCACCCCACCCGCCCTCCCGAGAGCTCGGCGCCCGGCGCTTCTCTCCGGCTCGGCTGCTCCTGTCCCTCCAGCCTTCCCTTACGTTCTCCGTGCTGGCTTTTTTTCCCCAAAGACGGAAATGCTTGAGGGCCGGGTTGGCTTGGCGCTGCTTGGGTCGGCCGCCCCGGAACTGCGCCAACAGCTGGCAGGGCATTGCGCGGATGACTGAGGCGGGAAACTGGGCTGTGGGGCCCAGGTGACCAGGCCCGGGGTCCAGGCGAGCCCAGCCTTGCGTCTACACACTGTGCAGCAGGGAGAGGGTTATTCGAGGCGCTGACTCGGAAGTGCCTGGAGAGGAGGGGGGAGTCGGGTGTGAACACACAGCCCTCAAGGTCTGCTCCGCGGGACCACGGTGGCTGGTTCTGGACGTGCCTGCAAGCCACAGGGCCCTGAGGCTGGCCATCGGGCTGGCTCCTGTCTGGGTGTCTGGCTCGTTGGGCGGGTGATGGCTGTACCCCGTCCGCATGTAGCTTCAAGAGGAGCCCGGGTCGGGTGCCGGGCGGGTGGTGACCCGTGAGCCCGATGCAGCCCGACCTCTGCGTGCCGGCCTGCGCGTGGACTCAGGCTCTCTCGGTCTCGGGCAAAGAAGGGCATCAGTGCCGGTCGCCCCAGGAGGGCGGTGAGTCAAGCCCAGGCAGCCGTGCCTGTCAGGGTCCTGTGTTGCTTGGAAGTCAAGCGTCGTGCAAACTGCTGGAACGTTCTTCGTGCAGTGATAACCGCCACAATAGGCACTTGGGCTGGCAGCGTTGTGGAGATGCCGGGGCCCAGCCCCTGCATGGCCCCAGTGGGTTCTTGGCCCTCACCCCATGACCAGGGTTCCAGGGGGCTGCTATCAGTGCATGTTTCCAAGATACCGGGAGAGCCAGCCGGCTCCTACAGATAGCAAGACGCCAGCCTTCCGGGCCTTTCTCTAATGTCGCGTTCCCAGGCCAGCTAGTCCCCTGCTTCTGGGCCTGAGACCCTTGGCCTGTGTGGACAACCTCCTTATTTTGAAGTCAAACAGACTCAGTTGACTGCATTTTCTTCTAAAGGTGTTAAAATAACATAGGTTGCAGCGATAATTACAGACGTGTTCCTGACATTGGTTTGTGTTTCTTAAGGTTTGGTTAAGATTGGGAAATGTTATTTTTCAGATTCTAGGGAGAAAAATCAGTGAGTGCTTGTATCTTTGAATTCACATGTCTCCTGGTGCCACAGAGGCTGCTGGGCATCCTGCCAGCACGAAGCCTTGTCCCTTCTCCTTCTGGTTCCTGCTGGCGGAAGATGGGGCCCTGGGGGCCGCCGGGCCAGCTCAGTCCTGGCCGGAACCTTCTCTTCGGGGGCAAGTGCTCCCCCACCTAGGACCTTCTCTGCAGGAGGAGTGCTCCCCTGGCTGGAACCTTCTCTGCGGGGGCAAGCGCTTCCCCACCTAGGACCTTCTCTGTGGAGGGAGTGCTCCCCTGGCTGGGACTTTCTCTGTGGGGGCAAGCGCTCCCCTACCTAGGACCTTCTTTGCTGGGGGAGTGCTCCCCTGGCTGGGACTGGGACCGGAGCTAGGTGATCAGGTGCTTTTCCTGCTGATCCTGAGGTCCTCAGGAGTTTGAGCTTCCAGCCACCCCGCCCTTGACCCCCGCCCCCAGGTCAGGCTCCGGCCAGTGCCTGGCAAGCCACAGCCCGGGGCTCAGGCGCCCCGCTCCCTGCTCCGGTGCGCGGGCTTCTCTCGCAGCGGTGATTACTCGCACCCCCAGTCTCCGAGGCTGGGAGCCGGTTCTCATTCCATCGCTGTGTAATTAGAGACTGTGGCCTGGTCAGTGCCCCAGGCTCTGGGCGCCTGTGTGAGCACCTCCCCCTGCTAGTGGACCTGTGTTCTCCTTCCCAGCCAGCCTGTCTGCCCCGGTCTGGGCCGACCCTCACGCCACAGCCAGCGCACAGCTGTCTGCCACCTGCAGCTCCAGGGGCCTGCCTGGCCCCGCTGGGAGGGCTCCAGGGGAGGGGCCCGTGGCGAGTGTGAGGGAGGGAGACGGCAGCCCCTGCCAGCTGAACTCAAGTCCCAAACATGGGCTGGTGGTGGAGGCCCCACGTGGGTGGGGGACACAGGGGAGCCTGGCTTGGGGCCCACCCAGCATCACGGCAGAGCAGGGTGGGGATGCCACCTAGTGGGGGACCCGGGAGGAGAGGGGTGCGTTGGTCACCTGCTAGTTCCGGCTATGCTGTGTGGCAGCTGATTATGTTGAGGTGGGCTGCCCCTCCAGGGTGCTACCAGCAGCTGCTAGTCCTTTATTCCTCCTGTTGCTATAGCAGCTGCTAGTGCACCAGCCACCGTTCCAGGCAGGAAAAGGGGGACGGCCGAGAGTGGACAGCGGTCTCCGTTTCGGTAGTGTAGGGCAAGGCCTGGGCTCCTCAGCCGAGCCTTTGACCCCACCGTGGTTGCGCCAGGTGTGTGTTGGCGTATCTGAGCATCGCATGCGCAGCGAGTCCCGTCACCAGGCCTCACGGTGCTGATCCTGCTGCCAGGGGCTGAGCTGCGCTCTGGCCTCCAGCCACGGGGCGCGGCTCCTGGTGGCTCGGCTGGGCACACCGCCTGCAGGGGAAGGGCCGCAGGGGTGGTGGTGGCCGCAGGGTGGTCAGATGCCTTGGGCGCTGGACACAGGGCAGACCTCCGGAGGCAGGACAAGGTGGCCAGAGGAGGTGCTGTGGCTCAGTCCTGAGCGTGTCCCCCTGGCCTTGCAGATGGGCCCTGGGGTACTGGGGCTGGGGGGCCAGCGGGAGGGCAGCAGCTGAGACCCCAGCTGCACCCAGGCCCACTTGGGGCAGCGGGACCATCTGGCCCATGGCACACTCGGCCTCTGCCTGTGTCTTGTGTGCAAACGAGGCCCGTTGGGGCCCAAGAGTGACTCCTGGGGGAGAAGGTGGCCTTGGGGACCCGGGCGGGTGGACCAGGTGCTTGTGACCAGCAGGGGTTGTCCAGAGGGACACACGGCTGGGCCTCCGACCGACCGTCCGGTCCTGCCCCTCAAACACGTGTGTGCACATGGCCGCACGGTGCCGAGGCTGTTGGTGCACGCGCAGGGGTGCACGCGCAGGGGACAGGCCTCCGGCATCCCGGTCAGGCTGCCCGCTAGCCTGGCAGCCCCCCGGTGTGCTCAGAGGGATTACAGGGGGTCGTCCTCCCCTGGGAACGCCGCGGGGAGGGGAGGCTGTGTGGAGCCCCCTCTGAGTTGCCGGTCTCCTGTCTGTCCTGTGGGCTTGAGGCTCCCCCCACCCTCGTGTCCCTGGACCTGGAGGCCCCGCTGTCGTGGGGGCCCTGACCTGGGCGGGCTGCTATGTGGCTCCGGCACACCTGGGACGCTGGCCTTGCCGGCCCCCATGCAGCGGGAGGACCTGGGACACGGGAGAACTCCTGAAGGGGGAGTGGGGGCGGGCGGGCCGCAGCCCTGGGTCATTGTCACCTGGCCCCGTCCCTTGCCCTTCCCAGCAGCGCTGAGCTCGGTGAGGCCCTTCTCGGCACTAGGGGCACGGCCCCCGGGGAGGACCCCATTCAGGGGCTGCCTGGGGACAGCCCAGCTGCAAGGCCCGCAGCCTAGGGGCCCTCAGAGTACCCGG